CAGGGAGGATGTCAGGGGATTCAATGTATGCTTGGACACAGTTGAGCAGACCACCAAAACATATGCCTTGCAAGTCCTTGAGCTACAGCAACAGATCAGGGACCTCACTTCGGCCCATGCTACCTTGAGCCACCAAATAGTAGCACTGGAGTATTAAAGGCAGTGGAAACACCTAAAGATCATTGGCCTCTCAGACAGCATCACTGCAGCAGAACTGCCACACTTCCTACGCAGGCTCTTTTCAGCCCTCTAACATCCTAAACAAGCCAAAGGCACACTACTAGATGGTATGTTCTGTCTCCCTAAGTCTCCATTAGCCATGTCTTCAGCCACCAGAGACCTGCTGAGTACATTTCAGAATGGCCAAGACAAGGCTGCCATCATGAGAGCAACTGGGGGGACGACTTTGTATCGCTTCGAAGACATGGTACTTTACCGCACGACCCTGCAGTGGAGGAAGTAATTTTGCTGCCTCACATCGGTCCTCTCAACTCACAGTGTCAAGTACCACTGGGGCTCTTCTCGCATACTCATTATTCAGCACCAGAAAGTTGAGCACAAAGTGGCCGACTCCTCAGAGATGGAAGCTATCCTGAGCACGCTAGGCCTGCAACACGATTTAACACCTGCAACTTGAGCATGGGACCCGGCTTCCATAGTCCAATTCAACCCAGCAAACAAGGGCGCAACCCAATGTGCCGCTTACCTGACTTTCTTTTTATTTTTTATCCTTATTTCCCTCATTTCTCAATTTTAAAAATGGGACTTAAGTATTTCTAGTTTGATTTTGTTTTATTTACTGTCGTTTACTCACATTTATGAAAAGGGCTCATTTTGCCCCTGTGACATACACAGGTCAAGTCCGGGAATGGCCTGGCTATGCTGGCTCCTATAATACCACCTATCCCCAGCGCAATGCATGTAGTTTTACACTCTAATCTGTCCTGTGGAGCTGCTCTTATTGATTGTTCAGTTTCCTTATTTTTTAAATTATTCTAACGTATTATTTTTTTGTTGGCCTTTGCCGTCCTCCTCTTGTGTATCTACTGCTTAATACATATCCTTAAAGTTTAGCAAAGCAGTTGTAAACCTTTATTAATATTAAAAAAAACGCAGTCTGTTTTATTGACTTCACTATTACATATATGCTAGCTGCGTACATGTTGTGCCTTGATGTATGTGTCAATTGCCATGTTCACCTTAACTCTGCCTGGGCAAAATAAAGAATTTAAAAAACAAAAAACCTCCAGAATGAAAGCTTGAAGGATATATTCGAGCAGAAAAAACAATATAATGGTGCAGGACATTAATAACCAGAAAAACATTGACACAATTTACTGTACATACATTTTTAAAACAATTTGCAAGCACATCACATGCTTCACCATCAATAGATTTCCTGAGTTTTCAGGCATCTTGCAGATTGAAACAAAATGTTCCTTCATAATCTCCTTGTATTTTACTCCATCCATCTTATCCCCATTCCAGGCCAACTTCTCAGTCCCTCAAAATATCCCTACAATATGTGCCACATATAGCACTTTCACAAAAAAAAAATATTTTGGTTTGATCAGACTAGGGAACATTTACATGGGTTTGATTTCTTTCTCCAATATCTACTGTAGATGACTTCAGTTATCATTGGCATTTAAGTGGACATATTACCTATTTATTGAGTTCCTGTGAATAGCCATCTGTAGGCATAGTTGGGGCCCGGCCGCTCTGCGACCCGGTATGTACCCAGTGTGGCCAGCCTCTCCTCCTGGGGGGCCCAGGAGCTGGCCACCTAAGGGCCCCCCGAGACTGGCCCTGGTGTCACCGGGTGGGAGGGCTGGTGCGCGCACGAGGGAGCACTATCCCCTGACCGCTCTCTGTCCAGCTCCCTCGCGCACTGCGTACTGATGCCAGAGCCGGAATATGATGTCATATTTCGGCTCCGGCATCAGTACGCGGCGCGCGAGGGAGCCCGCCAGCCCGTCCGGTGAACGGCCGCCCAACACCACCACTGGAACCCAGGGAATCCCCTCAGCACTCCCAAAGGTAGGGAGGTTGGGGGATTACATTTTTTTAAAACGTGTCTGTGTTAGTGTGTGTGTGTTAGTGTGTGTGTGTTAGTATGTGTGTGTGTTAGTGTGTGTGTTAGTGTGTGTGACCAGCCACCGAGCAACACCACTGGACCCCAGGGAACTCCCTCAGCACTCCCAAAGGTAGGGAGGCTGGGGGATTAATTTTAAAAAAAAAAACATGTGTGTGTTAGTGTGTGTGTGTTAGTGTGTATGTGTTAGTGTGTGTTAGTGTGTGTGTGTTAGTGTGTGTGACAAGCCACCGAGCAACACCACTGGACCCCTGGGAATCCCCTCAGCACTCCCAAAGGTAGGGAGGCTGGGGGATTAATTATTATTTATTTTTTTTAAAACATGTGTGTGTTAGAGTGTGTGTGTTTGTGTATTAGTGTGTGTGTGTGTGTGTTAGTGTATGTGTTAGTGTGTGTGTGTGTGTGTGTGTTAGTGTGTGTGTTAGTGTGTGTTAGTGTGTGTGTGTGTGTTAGTGTGTGTGTGAGTGTGTGTGTTAGTGTGTGTGTATGCATGTCTTAGTGTGTGTGTTAGTGCATTTGTGTGTTAGTGTGTGTGTGTGTGTGTTAGAGTGTGTGTGTGTTAGTGTATGTGTGTGTTAGTGTGTGTGTGTGTATTAGTGTGTGTGTTAGTGTGTTTGTGTGTGTATGTATTAGTGTGTGTGTTAGTGTGTGTGTGTTTGTTAGTGTGTGTGTGTTAGTGTGTATGTGTGTTAGTGTGTGTGTGTGTCTTCAGCACTTACCTTTCTCCAGCGCCGGACTCCCTTGGCGCTAGGGAACCCTCCGCCCCGATCCGCCTCTCAGCTCCGAATGCGCATGTGTGGCAAAAGCAGCGCGCGCATTCAAACCGCCCATAGGAAAGCATTACTCAATGCTTTCCTATGGATGTTCAGTGTCTTCTCACTGTGATTTTCACAGTGAGAATCGTGGAAGCTCCTCTAGCGGCTGTCAATGAGACAGCCACTAGTGGCTGGATTAACCCTCAGTGAAACATAGCTACAGGGTTAAAACTAGAGGGACCTGGCACCCAGACAACTTCATTGAGCTGATGTGATCTTTGTGTCTGTAGTGGTGATCTTTGTGCCTTTAAGTGTGCCGCCATGTGTTGCGGCCCCAGCCCGCGCAGAGTAAGCGTGGGGGGGGCTCACAGATCAGTTTTCGCACCGGGGCCCCATGGTTTGTGTGTAGACCACTGGTTGTAGATGTGCTATATTTTTTTAAATATTAAGAGGTGCTTTAACCCTTCACTATAGAGAACTTTTTGATTGAAGAAATTTTAGAATAACATGTATTTGAAGCAATGGATGCATTGGTAGCAGAAATGTACACAGGCCATAAAAAAAAAAGTTTAATTGTGTTTCATATTTTTTTTAATTATTATTATTTTCAAATTTCAGCTTGCCCAAAATATGTAAATTATCAATTCGAATGAAACAAAATGTGGATGAAAAAAATCAGAACCAAAAGGAAATTCAAACGCAATTATTACTATTATTCCAAAGGATACACCATTAGGGAGCTGTTTAGCAGCTGTTTAGTTATCCTTAAAAATAGTCATTTCACATCAGGGTAACAAATTAGAAAGTTATCTGCTAAATACAGATGAAAGGTCAAAATTAATAACAAGTCTTTTTTCTTCCTTTTGATCATTATGCTGGTTAGTAGATAACTCCCTACCTTTGTTCTTATATGGGTTTGGCATATTTTAGTATATCAGATATAGGAGCAATATGCTAAACACTGGACTAATATAATATCCTTAAAACTGGCAATCCCACATGCAGTCATGGTAAAAATAAAGTAGCAATCCCACATACAGTCATGGTAAAAAGAAAGTGGCAATGCCACATACAGTCGTGGAAAAAGATAAGTACACCCTCTTTGAATTAGGTGGTCTAACACTTCAGGACATACTAACAATCATCTGTTCAATAGCAGATCTTAAAATGAGTACAACCTCAGATGAATAACAACACATGACATATTACACTGTGTCATGATTTTTTTTTAAATAAAAATAAAAATAAAATGGAGAAGCCATGTTTGAAAAACTAAGTACCCCTTTGCTGCTTCCATAGGAATTAAGAGGTTAATAGCAGAAAGCTTGTGCTATTCAAATGCCATTGATTAACTGATTATAAGCAAGTGTGACTACTTCTATAAAAGCCAAAGTTTTAATAGTTTGCTGGTCTGGAGCATTCAGGTGTGTGTTTACAAAATGCCACGTAGGCTAGACATCACCAATGAGAAACAATTGTTAGTGCCCATCAAACTGAAAAAGGTTATAAGACCATTTCCAAACACTTTTAAGTCCTCAGTTAGCATGTTAAATTTTAATGTTCAAAACTAGAAAAAGACTGAACAAGTATGGTTTGTTTGGAAGGGTAACCAGTAGAAAGCCTCTTCTCACTAAAAAGAGCTTGGCAGCACAGCTTAGGTTTGCAAAGTTGCATCTGAACAGACCACAAAACATTTAGAACAATATCCTTTGTACAGATGAGACCAAAGTGGAGATGTTTGGCCATAATGCACAGCACCATGTTTGGCGAAACCCAAACACGGTATATCAGCACAAACACCTCATACCAACTGTCAAAGGAAGGTGGTGGAGGGGTGATGATTTGGAGTTATTTTGTAGCAACAGGACCTGGGAACCTTCCAGTCACGAGTCAACCATGAACTGCTCTATATACCAAAGTATTCTAGAGTCAAATGTGAGGCCATCTGTCCGACAGCTAAAGCTTGGCCAAAATTGTTTCATGCAACAGAACAATGATCCCGAGCACACCAGCAAATCTATAACAGAATGGCTGAAAAAGAAAAGAATCAAGTTGTTTCAATGGCCCAGTCAAAGTCCAGACATCAACCCGATCGAAATGCTGTAGCGAGACCTGAAGAGAGCTGTGAATAAACAAATAAACAAAATTCTTTGGGGTATGTCCTGTGTTCTTTAGTAGCCACTTAGTCACAAACACTGGCCAAAGTTAGCCTTCATATTTGTTTTTGTGTTAAAAAAGCAGAAAACAAATATTTGGCCAGTGTTTGTGACTAAGTGGCTACTACAAATGACTGGACATACCCCATCTGCAATACCTTGGGTTGCCTACTTTTGCAAATGGTATGCCATACTGGGGGTAATTCTCATTCCTGGGCTACCGCACGGTCTTAAAGGCAACATAACCAATCTGGCAAATTTCAGTGTGAAAAAAATGAAATGCAAGCCTTATATTTGACTCTCTAACTTTACAAAACACCATAAAACCTGTACATGGGGGGTACTTTTATACTTGGAAGACTTCTCTGAACACAAACATAAGTGTTCCAAAACAGTAAAATATATTACAACAATAATATCGTCAGTAAAAGTGCCGTTCATGTGTGAAAAATGCAAAAAATGTCAATTTTACTAAAAATATCATTATTGTAATACAAGTTACCATTTTGAAACACTAATATTTGTGTTCAGTAAAGTCTCCTGAGTAAAACAGTACCCCCCGTGTACAGGTTTTATGGTGTCTTGGAAAGTTACAGGGTTAAACATAGCGCTTGTGAATTAAATTCTCTGCACATTCTGCCTGGGTTGTCAGGCACGTCAATCAAATTTTAATTAATTAAATCACATAATTATGTTAAAAGATTACTTAAATATACACGTAGAATTTTAATATATATACATATATATGTATTTAAATTCTAGGTGTATACTTATGTACCGTATATACTCGAGTATAAGCCGAGTTTTTCGGCACATTTTTTGTGCTGAAAACCCCCACTCGGCTTATACTCAAGTCAATGTCTGTATTGTGGCAATTTACATTACAAGCCCGGCGGTCCTGTTGGGGGCTGACAGCGAGCTCTTACTTACCTTCCTGCAGCTCCTGTCAGCTCCCTCCTCCTCCGTGCAGCTCCACAGGGGAAGGTAAGTAAGAGCTCACTGCCAGCCCCCCCACTGAACTGCCAATGCCACTGGACCACCAGGTATTTAATATTATTTTATTTTAATAATAATAAAATAATATTAAATATTATTATTATTATTATTATTATTATTTTAATATTTACATTATTTTTGTAAAAAAAATTTTGTCCCCCCACCCTGCTTGTTGCCTTGCCAGGGAGGGGGGACAAAAACATTTTTTTTTTAAATAATGCAAATATTAACATAATAATAATATAATAATAAAATAATTATTATTTTAATATTATATTATTTTAATATTATTTTATTATTATTATTTTAATATTTGCATTATTTATTTAAATGGTTTTTTGTCCCCCCTCCCTGCTTGTTGCCTGGCCAGGGAGGGGGGACAAAAACATTTAAAAAAAATAATGCAATAATGTAAATATTAAAATAATAATAATATTATTAAAATAATATAATATTAAAATAATAATAATATTAAAATAATATAATAAAATTAAAAAATTAAAATAAAAATGCCCTCCCCTCATCCAGTTTGCACACACTGCACAAACACACACACAGCATTATATACACACACACAACACACAAACACACACACACTGCATTCATTATATATACACACACAAATACACACTCTGCATTCATTATATACACACACAAACACACACTCTGCATTCATTCTATACACACACTGTAAATAAATATTCAATTAATGTAATTTTATTGGGATCTAATTTAATTTAGAAATTTACCAGTAGCTGCTGCATTTCCCACCCTAGGCTTATACTCGAGTCAATAAGTTTTTCCAGTTTTTTGTGGTAAAATTAGGGGCCTTGGCTTATATTCGGGTCGGCTTATACTCGAGTATATACGGTAGTTATTTGTGTAATTATATATATTTATCCATATATAAATATTTGTGGTTATTTGTATTTTATATGTAGATATATATATATATATATATATATATATATATAGAATGTCATTCTAAGTGTATTTTGTTACATATATATATATATATATATTAAAAACAAAATACATTTAGAATGAAATTACATATGTATATATAATTTATTTACATTTTTAAAAAATATTTTATTTATTTTATTATTTTATTCATTATTGTAATTATATGTATAAACATAATATATATATATATATATATATATGATATATATATATATATATATATATATATCTTGTATATAAGTAACGTCATTCTAAGTTTATTTTAATACTAATATATGTATTTAATGTATGTGTATATGACGTTATATATATATATATATATATATATATATATATAAGATGTATATTTATTATATATTATATACATATATATATTTTTATATATACACACATGACAGCCCAGACAGTCCCCCTGCTGGCAGATCCACAGCCAGCTAATGGGGGGCATGTGATCGCTCTTTGAGAGCGATCACATGGCCCCCGGGGGCCTGATTTGCTGTGGGAGGGCTGGCTGGGCTGTCAGGCAGTCTTCCCGAAGAGGATCGCGGTGAAGGTAATGGCTTTAAAACCCATTTAATGCGGGACGGCATAGAACACCGTAATGGCATTAAGGGGTTAAATGTTATTGTGTATTATCATGTTTTCTAAAATTGTTCTAGTTATATAATGCTTTAGAATCTTGAATATATATATATATATATATATTATTTTGTATTTCATATGCCCAGGTTCAGTAATAATACTGATGGATAAGAGTAAGCAATTGAAGCTTGAAGTAATTAATATTTCTATTATCACCCTTATGAGAAATCATATTGATCACACAGACAATAGCGTAGCAGAATTGTTTAGACGTGTTTTAAAATAAAGCAATTTACCCAACAGTCTTTTTTTATGATGAGTCAGACAGCATCTAATAGGGTTTGTGAGAAATGACTGGAGACATACACTGCAAATCACTTGGGACACAGAGGAAAGAAATCATTCTACATGCACACTGTTTATGACAATTCTTTAATTCTCATCCAGGTTTGTGTCTATATTTTTCTAGAGCTGGGTTTGCTTTGGTTTAACGACATGTGTTTTGCTTTATCCTGACATTTGGTTTACAGGTGGATCATTGTGTCTGTGATAAGTTGTTGCTATACTGGAAAACTATCTGAAACACCGTCTTCCATATGCCATAACCACTGAAGATGAGACTACTGATTGGCTTGGAATATAATGACACATTTCTTCTCACTTTCTCTTTCAATATAGTTTAAAGGCATCTAGGCCAAATGTGGTTTAAATTGCTATATTATGCTGTTGGCAAACTGTCCAGATGATACTTTTCCCATTGGACATTTTCAGAATTTTCTTTACAAAGCTTAATACCTACGTAAAGGTGTCATCGTCAATAATATTATTTGACTGTGAGATGCTCTCATATTTATAAGGCGACATATACATTAAATACAGGGTCAATATATATCCACCAGAATCTTCATATCACATAAGTCTCCATAAAAGTGAGACACATTTATTTAGGGTATGCACAGGGAAAATTTAAGGCTTTTTTACAACATACAAATATTTATTGAATTATAAATAATACATTACATTTATTATATATTAAACAAACTAAAAATGATTGTTTTCATATACAGAATAATCCGGATTACAAAAAATTTCAAATAGAAAAAAAAAAAATCAAGCAATGTCTAAATGTCTAAAATTACTTTTTTTTTCCAAACTACACAATACATTATCACACTACACTCCAAAAAGTAATTAAGGCATATATAAAAAAAAGGGTTGAGGAAGCGTCATGCCAGGCGTGAAAAGCGTTCAGGGTATTTCGGTTTTTCCTTGGGTCACTTCTATGTGGTTCTTTCCCCTTCTTACTGGTGCCGTTCTTTTATCATTTTTGCTAGCTTCTTAGCGTCTTAATTTTTGACATATTTATTTCCTCAGTGAGATCTAATGCTAGGATCACAGAGCATGTTGTTATCAACCTTAACATACTATATGATATTGGACTGGCGCATATGATGACTGTTCTAGGCAATTCTTTGCTTGCATTTCCATGTTTTGTATTTTTATCCTTTTTCTTTGCAAATAAATGTACCATTTCTAAGAAAATTGGTGTGCAGTGGAATGTACTGCTATGGTTTGAGTGTGCGGACATTAGGGATCGTTTGGGCATAAGACATATAAAAAATGTACCTGGTATTTTATTTTTTTTCTATTTAAGAAAGATTTTATTTTTATTTTTAGCAAAACAGATTTTGTTACATTTCAGAAAAGGATAAAACATAGTGCATATGTGTGGTCAAGGAAAAAAAAAAAGAGATGATTTGGTGAAAGCTGGTTGTGGTGTGCCAAAACCAAAGTTCGGGTAGATCTGTAAATAGAGAGGGCCCACCAAGAGTTAATGTTTAATAAAAAGAGTTGGGTGGGATGAACCATACAATAGATAGCAGCCCATAGTATGGGGTGCCCTGTGTTTAAATAGGCAGAAGAAACCTCTTTGATAATTCCAGCCTCTGCCTTAACATTCATGGACAGGGAAAAAGGCTGAGTAAAAGTGTAAGTTGATGTGGTGAAAGTCGGTTGTGGTGTGCCAAAACCGACGTTCAGGCAGGTCTGTAAATAAATAAAGCATAAAGGTTTAACAAAACAACACTTTAATACGTATAACATTACAAAACCATATTCTAAAATGTTTGTCTTAGCTCCCTCTCGAGTTGAGGGATATATCTATTACATGCGGTAGATTTGCATCATGTACAGGGATATTCTTTTTAGATGCTGCTGAGGCTGTGCCAATTTTAATGAATGGCCTTAAAATGATCCAGGGTCACTGCCAAGTCTTATGAATAGTGTCCTGATGTCCAGGATGTCCAGGATGAATTTTGTGAATTTTGTAGTGAGTGGGTTACCGTGTAACATTAACAGAGATGTATTCCAAAGACGACCTGCGAGTGAAAGACAAATTTGATTTAGTATTTTTACTGGGCACCAGTTATTGTCAGTAGGATATAGGTGTATGTCTGTAGGTGGTCCCGTTTGATTTGTTTTCGACTATTGCAGGGTAAGTGTATAATGATCCCCTGACTTTTTTAAGTGCATAAAAATTTTTGGGCTTGGAAGAACACTTAGTACGTGATGTTGTTGTCACACAGGTTACCCCAAGTTACAGGAACAGCGAGTCACACAAACAAAGGTACTAGATAGATGTATAACCGGGCCTTAGAGTTAATACAGAAAAAGACAGAGTCAGGAATAGCCAAGGTAGGGATAAATGGAATAACAAGCTAGTTCAGGATACCAGAAATACACAAAGTCAGAAACAAGCCGGGTCAGGATGCCAGACTTCAACACAAAGTCAAATAAAAGCCAAGGTCAATATCAGGATATAACAAGAGAGACATATTATGAGCACTAATGTATATCAGGACAGAAACCACAATAGGGCAATGAGTAAGGGCCAGAACAGGCTTTAACCCCTTAAGGACCAAACTTCTGGAATAAAAGGGAATCATGACATGTTACACATGTCATGTGTCCTTAAGGGGTTAAACAGGTTCACATTAATTCTCATTTGTCCACGTCATCTTTGTGATCCAAAACAGCATGAGGTCACCTAGATTATGTGGCTTCTTTAAGGGCGTGTGTCACGTATTCATCCGCTTATAGAAATGTGGTTAATGACATTTACTGTCCACACAGGAAAAGTTGTGCCGAGCAGCAACCTAATCCACAGAAGGTTTAATGCTGAGCAGTAATTGTGCAAATGAAACCTGGTCTCATGTATTCATCCGCTTATAGAAAAGTGGTTAATGACATTTACTGTCCACACAGGAAAAGTTGTGCCGAGCAGCAACCTAAACCACAGAAGGGTTAATGCTGAGCAGCAATTATGCAAATGAAACCTGGTAACTGACTTTGGGGTCAAAGGCCGGTTACAGCCTATCAGAACTAAAGGAGGGGTATTTAGGCCCAGTTCTCAGCCTGCTCAGTGCCCTGTCGTGGTTTCCCTTGTGGTTGTCTGAGAGCGCGTTCCTGTTTATAGTTTTCTACCTGGTTTTTGACTTTGGCTTTGTTTATTGACTTCTCTATATTCTGGTATCCTGACTCCTGGCTTTCCTCATCGCTGTGTCCCTTTCTGTGTTCCCTGACCTCGGCTAGTATTTTTGACTATTCTTTGTACGTTAAATCCGGCCATTCTAAGGACCGGTAATACGTTACTTATTTGTTGTCAGTTCCGTGCTGGATCAAACAGTAATCCTGACATTACGACAGGGCCATAGATCCTGTAGAACTGTGTCAGCACATAGCTGCTTGCGAGAGGAAATTAGAGGAGAATGATCACCGCATGGATCAATTCACTCAGGCTTTAAGTACGCTTCTCGCTAGAACGGAGCATCTGCAGCCTGCAGCGTCTCCTCCTATAGCACCTCTACCCTGTGTACCTCCACCCACTGTTAATATGACTCCTAGCATCTCCTTATCACCATCCCTACAGTTTGATGGCAATATCCAGGAATGCAGGGGTTTTCTTAATCAGGTGGAGTACCATTTTGAGGCCTCACCAGGGTCATTCCCCACGGACAGAGCAAGAATTGGTTATCTAATGAATCAATTAAAGGGCAAGGCCCTTGCCTGGGCTAATCCGTTGTGGGAGAGTAATCGGAGCATAGCTCATAATTACCAGGAATTCCTTGCCGAATTCAAGCTCACGTTTGAGCCATTGGGTAGAGAGGATGACGCCTCCACTGCCCTAATGCACATCAAACAAGGTAACCGGTCTATCTCGGATTATGCTATTGAATTCCGTACCTTAGCTTCCGAGGTAGAATGGACTAACAATGGGTTAATCTCAGCATTCAAAAAGGGTCTCTCAGAGACTATACTAGATGAGATAGCCGCTAAAGAATTACCTAAGAGTCTTAACGAATTTATTACGTTTGTCATGCATATTGATAATAGGTTAAGACTCAGAGAAGTCACCAGAAGCAAGACCAGACGTACGGCTATGTCCCTAGCACCTCAATTCTCTAAACCTGTTTTGTCTAACCTCCCTGTACAGTCCGAACCCGAACCTATGCAGTTGGGGGTCACTAGACTGTCAGAGGCCGAAAAACAGTATAGGAGAAGGGAGGGGTTATGCCTATATTGCGGTAGAAAGGGACATATGATAACTAATTGTCCAGTGCGTCCGGAAAACTTCCGCACCTAAGAACCTTAAGGGGACAGATCTTAGGTGTGATGGAGTTGTCCTCTAACAAAAACAAAAGTAGATTCCTCCTTGAGGTATCTATTTCCCTTGATAACAAGAAGTTTTCTTGCAGTGCCCTAATGGACTCAGGTGCTGCTGGAAATTTTATTGATGTCCAGTTTATTAGGGGTAATGAGATACCGGTCAGGGAGAGACCTACGCCGCTAGCTGTAGAGGCTATTGATGGTAGACCACTCACACAACCGCTTATAACCCACAAAACTGTCCCTATTACGATCTCCATTGGGGCCTCCCATAGGGAGGAGATGACGTTTCAGGTTATTACTTCTCCATCATGTCCTATCATATTAGGGTTTCCGTGGCTGAGTAAGCACAATCCCTATATTGACTGGGCTAATGGGGAGATATTAGAATGGGGTAAAGAGTGTATGGGGAGATGTATAAAACCAGTACTAAAGAGATTGGATACTACTGACCTTCCCACTACCACTCCCCAAACTCCTGGAGTTCCCATACAATACCGAGAACTTCAGGAGGTGTTTAACAAGGCTCAATCTGATGTATTGCCTCCCCACAGAGCATATGACTGTGCCATTAACCTGTTTCCAGGCGCTATGCCACCTAAGGGGGCAGTTTATGCCTTATCTCCCCAGGAGAGTAAAATAATGGAGGAATACATCAAAGAATCCTTGAGCAAAGGGCACATAAGAAAGTCATCCTCACCAGCTGGTGCAGGATTCTTTTTTGTTGAGAAAAAGGGTGGTGAGTTACGCCCTTGCATAAACTACAGGGCACTTAATAAAATCACTGTAAAAAATGCATACCCTATCCCACTCATTTCCGAATTGTTCGATAGACTTCAGGGAGCTAAAGTATTTACTAAGCTTGACCTTAGGAGCGCTTACAATTTGGTTAGAATTAAAGAGAATCATGAGTGGAAGACGGCATTTAATACCCGTAGTGGACACTATGAATATCTGGTAATGCCATTTGGGTTATGCAACGCCCCGGCCGTATTCCAAGACTTTATAAATGATGTACTCAGGGAATTCATTTACACATTTGTCTTGGTTTATTTGGACGATATTTTGGTGTATTCCCCTGATCTTCAGACTCACCACTCCAATGTGAAACAGGTTCTGCAGACGTTGTTGAAAAATAAACTTTATTGTAAATTAGAAAAGTGCATATTTGACCAGCCTGAAGTCCACTTTTTGGGTTACAACATCTCTGCATCGGGATTTCAAATGGATCCTAAAAAACTAGAGGCTGTACTACACTGGCCATTACCCTCTGGTTTAAAAGCCATTCAAAGGTTTATTGGTTTTGCCAACTATTACAGAAGATTCATCAAGGGATTTTCTTCTGTAATAGCCCCAATCACAAATATGACTCGCAAAGGGGTTAGTAGCACGGTATGGTCCAAAGAGGCTGTGAATGCTTTTGAGACTCTTAAACAAAGATTTGCCTCTGCGGACATACTAAAACATCCCGACACTAGTAAACCTTTTATATTGGAGGTTGATGCATCCGAGACAGGGGTAGGGTCTGTTCTCTCTCAGAGAGAAAGCCAGGTAACACCATTGCATCCTTGTGGCTACTTCTCCAGAAAGATGTCTCCTGCTGAGCGCAACTACGATATTGGCAATAGAGAACTGTTGGCCATTATTTTTGCCCTCAAGGAGTGGCGACATCTTTTGGAGGGTTCCAAGGACCCCCTGTTGATCATAACCGACCACAAAAATCTGGCATATATAGGGGATGCCAAACGTTTGTCTTCCAGACAGGCTAGATGGTCACTGTTCCTTTCACATTTTAACTTTCTCATTACTTATAGACCTGGTTCTAAAAATACCAAGGCTGATACCTTGTCCAGGCAATTTGATAATGAGTCAGCTCCGGAACAGGTGACATCTCCTATTATTCCACCAGAGTGTATTATTGCCACTACTGTCCTCTCACTGTCTTCTCCACTGCTTGGCACCATACTGGAGGCCCAGCCTCAGGCGCCCAGTGGTAAACCGTGTGATAAACTGTTCATTCCCCTATGTGAAAGGGTTAATATCATGAAAGTGTTCCATGACAATATAACTGCTGGACACCCGGGCATCAATAAGTCCACTGCTGCAATCACTAGATCATTTTGCTGCTAAAACACCAAGTGTAATCTCTCCAAATCCACACAACAAATATACAAACACTAATTTTATTGCGTTCTACGAAGAAGTAAGTAGAAGTATTGATCAGGGTTTTGCAGTGGATGTGATCTACTTGGATTTTGCCAAGGCATTTGATACAGTTCCACACAATAGATTAGTGTTCAAACTCAAGGAAATCGGTCTAGATGAAAATGCTTGTTCTTGGGTAGAACATTGGCTTAAAAACAGAGTACAAAGAGTTGTCATTAATGGTAAATTTTCAAGCTGGACAGAGGTGGCAAGTGGTGTCACTCAAGGGTCTGTTCTGGGACCCCTTCTATTTAACATGTTTATAAATGATCTTGAAGATCTTATAGCTTGGTTGCTTCACCTAAGTGTTGCTTCTAAGTGTGTAGTTGGAGATATTCTGGAGAGTTTTACAGAAGCTTCACCAGTCTAAGAGTTGTGCTAAGAGCTTTCTTTTCTACTGTTACAGGTAAGATTCATCTGTAGGAAAAGGTTACTGATTGCACAAGGTTTGAATTCCTGTTGGTAATTATAAGGCATTTGATTTGATTAAGCTAGTTACTTGCTATTGATTGCTGGTTAATTAGCTATTGTTTGCAAATAAGCAGAGGCCTACCCAGGTGTTAAACATTCCTAGTGGGTGGTGATTTTAGGAGTTATATAAGGCTTGTTGTCATTAGCTTGGCTAATATAGCTTGGTTGCTTCATCTAAGTGTTGCTTCTAAGTGTGTAGTTGGAGATATTCTGGAGAGTTTTACAGAAGCTTCAACTGTCTAAGAGTTGTGCTAAGAGCTTTCTTTTCTACTGTTACAGGTAAGATTCATCTGTAGGAAAAGGTTACTGATTGCACAAGATTTGAATTCCTGTTGATAATTATAAGGCATTTGATTTGATTAAGCTAGTTACTTGCTATTGATTGCTGGTTAATTAGCTATTGTTTGCAAATAAGCAGAGGCCTACCCGGGTGTTAAACATTCCTAGTGGGTGGTGATTTTAGGAGTTATATAAGGCTTGTTGTCATTAGCTTGGCTAATATAGCTTGGTTGCTTCACCTAAGTGTTGCTTCTAAGTGTGTAGTTGGAGATATTCTGGAGATTGTTGCTTCTAAGTGTGTAGTTGTAGATATTCTGGAGAGTGTTGCTTCTAAGTGTGTAGTTGGAGATATTCTGGAGATAAACTGGAGGTAATCTGAGGTATTCAGGAGGATAAAGAAAAAAGTTAAGATTAGTTTGAGTTAAATTATTTTCCTCATTGGAATGGCAGACTTAGTTCAGTGTAATAGTTGATATGCATTTGTTTCACGTTCTACTTTTTGGAGATTTGGTTGTTATCTAATCTGTAGACAGTTCTCTATATTGCGGCAGGAGATTGTATTTTTCAAGTCTGAGATTTGTAAATTATCTGGTGAACAAACTCAGACTGGAACTGCTGCAAAGCCACTGCCGCAGAGACATACTAGGAATGGCAGATGGATTACTGTAGGATCTGGTAGACTTAGAGTTGTGGATAAAAGGCATTTTGCACAGTCTGTTGCTCTACATAATTCATTTCCTGCACTTTCAGAGTGTAATGGTGTTGTGGAGAGAAGCACTAAGCCTAGTGGTGTTGTGGAGAGAGGCACTGAGGCTAGTGGTGTTGTGGAGAGAGGCACTGAGGCTAGTGGTTTTGTGGAGACCGGCTTGGAGACTATGGTGAGGCCTAATAGAAAGCAGTTGTTGTTGGGGGATTCAATCATAAGAGGTGTGGAGATGGACAATTGTGGTCTTGTGAGGTGTCTTCCCGGAGCTACTGCTCACAGAGACAGGAGACGTAGCTGTGATATTGTTAAGCAAGCAAAGCAGGAAGGGGAATTTGATGTACTTGTCCATCTAGGGACAAATGACTTGGCTTGCAATGAGGTTTCAGAGTTTAAGTAAGTTTTTAGTGTTTTTGCCAAGGATATACGGCAGGTTGTTTCCACACTGTCATTCTCTGAAGTTCTGCCTGTGCATAACACTCAGAACGACAGGCAGATGCGTATTAGGGACTTTAATTTGTGGCTTGGTGAATGGTGTCGGGAGCAAGGATTTGGCTTTATTTCTCCTGGTAGCTCTGTTTGGAATGGAAATAAGCTGTACAAAAAAGATGGTTTGCATCTTTCTCAAAAGGGAACAAATGTTCTCAGTGAGCAGTTCAGAGGTTTTGCTAGGATGTATTTAAACTAGGAGGGGGGGAGGCAAAAGGGTGATAAAACATCAATCCACAGGACAGAAGGTGCCTGTAGCAAGTGTGTTAAAAAATGATAAGCTTAGAGTCATGTCTACAAATGCTCGCAGTTTAGGGAAAAAGATCCATGAACTTGTGGCAATAATGGCAACTGATAATGTAGATTTAGTCGCTGCTACTGAGACATGGTATAATGAGAAAAACGACTGGGACATAGCAATACCAGGGTACTCTTTATATAGAAAAGATAGGGAAGGCAAGAAAGGGGGAGGGGTGGCCCTGTATGTGAAGGATAGCATAAAATCTAGCCTAATAAAAGTCAGTGAGACAAACATAGAGTCCGTTTGGGTTACGTTAGAATTTGGTAATCACACAGTAACTCGTATAGGTGTGATTTATAGGCCCCCAGGACAAATTGAAGAGTTAGATAATCTAAGTTATCATCATGGGTGACTTTAATCTTCCTGATGTAAATTGGAAAACAAAATTAGCTACTTATGCCAGGAGCACACATATTCTAAACTCACTACTGGGATTGTCTCTAAAACAAGTTGTTGAAGAGCCAACTCGTAAAGAGGCCATACTAGATTTAGTGTTAACAAATGGAGATTTGGTATCAGATATTACTGTAGGTGAAAGTTTAGGATCCAGTGATCATCAGTCAGTGTGGTTTAATATAAGAACAGTGACTGAGTCACACCACACAAAAACAAAAGTTTTAGACTTTAGAAAAACAGACTGTTCTAAAATTAGAATATGTGTAGAGGAGTCATTATCAGACTGGAGCAATTTAAATGGAGTCCAAGAGAAATGGGATTATTTAAAAGTTGCACTATTAAAGGCAACAGAAAATTGCATTAGGCTTGTCAGTAAAAGCAAAAAATTCAAGAAACCACTGTGGTACCCCGCAGATGTGGCCAAAATAGTTAAAAACAAAAAGTTAGCATTTAGGAATTATAAAAAAAACCAGAGTGAGGAAGACAAAATGATCTATAAGATTAGGCAGAAAGGGGCTAAGCAAGTTATAAGAGCTTCCAAATCACACACAAAAGAGAAAATAGCACAGTCAGTAAAAAAGGGGAACACAACATTTTTTAGATACATAAATGAGAAAAGAAAAGTAAAACAAGGATTAGTTAGATTAAAAACAAAAGAAGGAAGGTATGTAGAAGAGGATAACGGTCTAGCTGACTGCCTCAATTAATATTTTTGTTCTGTATTTACAGATGAAAATTAAGGAAAAGGACCTCAGTTGAGAAAAAGGATAAATAAGTCATTTATTACACGTGAGTTTACAGAGGAAGAGGTTCTATTTCAACTGTGAAAAGTAAAGACAAATAAGTCAATGGGACCTGATGGAATACACCCAAAGCTATTAAAAGAGCTTAGTGGTGTACTAGCAAAACCATTAACAGATTTATTTAACCAATCATTATTAACAGGAGTAGTCCCAGAAGATTGGAAGTTGGCGAATGTTGTGCCCATTTACAAGAAAGGTAATAGGGAGGAGTCGGGCAACTATAGGCCAGTAAGCCTTACTTCAGTAGTGGGGAAAGTGATGGAAACCATGTTAAAGGATAGGATTGTTGAACATCTAAAACACATGGATTTCAAGATCAGAGACAACATGGATTTACTTCAGGGAGATCATGCCAAACTAATCTTATTGATTTTTTGATTGGGTAACTAAAATTATAGATCAGGGTGGTGCAGTAGACATTGCTTACCTAGATTTCAGTAAGGCTTTTGACACTGTTGCACATAGAAGGCTTATCAATAAACTGCAATCTTTTAAGTTTGGATTCCAATATTGTTGAATGGGTAAGGCAGTGGCTGAGTGACAGGCAACAGAGGGTTGTAGTTAATGGAATATATTCGAAGCTTGGACTTGTCACCAGTGGGGTACCTCAGGGATCTGTACTTGGACCCATTCTCTTTAATATTTTTATTAGTTATATTGCAAAAGGTCTTGATGGTAAGGTATGTCTTTTTGCTGATGATACTAAGATATGTAACAGGGTTGATGTTCCAGGAGGGATAAGCCAAATGGCAAATGATTTAGGTAACTAGAAAAATGGTCAGAATTGTGGCAACTGACATTTAATGTGGATAAGTGCAAGATAATGCATCTTGGACGTAAAAACCCAAGGGCAGAGTACAGAATATTTGATAGAGTCCTAAACTCAACATATGAGGAAAGGGATTTAGGGGTGATTATTTCTGATGACTTAAAGGTAGGCAGACAATGTAATAGAGCAGCAGGAAATGCCAGCAGAATGCTTGGTTGTATAGGGAGAGGCATTAGCAGTAGAAAGAGGGAAGTGCTCATGCCATTGTACAGAACACTGGTGAGACCTCACTTGGAGTATTGTACACAGTACTGGAGACCGTATCTTCAGAAGGATATTGATACCTTAGGGAGAGTTCAGAGAAGGGCTACTAAACTGGTTCATGGATTGCGGGATAAAACATACCAGGAAAGGTTAAAGGATCTTAACATGTATAGTTTGGAGGAAAGACGAGACAGGGGGGGATATGATAGAAACATTTAAATATATAAAGGGAATCAACACAGTAAAGGAGGAGACTATATTTAAAAAGAAGAAAAACTACCACAACAAGAGGACATAGTCTTAAATTAGAGGGACAAAGGTTTAAAAATAATATCAGGAAGTATTACTTTACTGAGAGGGTAGTGGATGCATGGAATAGCCTTCCAGCTGAAGTGGTAGAGGTTAACACAGTAAAGGAGTTTAAGCATGCGTAGGATAGGCATAAGGCTATCCTAACTATAAGATAAAGCTAGGGACTAATGAAAGTATTTAGAAAATTGGGCAGACTAGATGGGCCGAATGGTTCTTATCTGCCGTCACATTCTATGTTTCTATGAAGACAGCATTGAAAGTCATGTTTCAGTGTTTGCAGATGACACAAAACTTTGTAAAATAATACAATGTGAGCAACATATTACTTTGCTGCAGAGGAATTAAGACTGGGACTGGGCACTCAAATGGCAGATTAAATTTAATGTTGAAAAATGCAAAGTTATGCACATCGACGTAAAGAATACACAAGCAACGTATACCCTTAATGGAAGCGAGTTAGGGATAACAACACACGAAAAGGATTTGGGAATTGTTATAGACAACAAACTATGCAACAATGTGCAATGTCAATCCGCAGTGGCCAAGGCCAGTAAGGTATTGTCAATCATTAAAATGGGCATTCATTCTCGGGACGACAATATAATTTTGCCTCTTTATAAATCACTGGTAAGACCACATATTGAATATGCTGTGCAATTTTGGGCACCTGTTCAAAAGAAGGATATTATGGCAATAGAAAAAGTGCAGAGGCGGGCTACAAAATTAATAAAAGGAATGAAACATATCAGCTATGAAGAAAGGTTAACAAAGTTAAACCTATTTAGCTTAGAAAAACGTCGCCTGAGAGGGGATATGATAACATTATACAAATATATTCGGGGCCACTACAAACCATTGTGTGGAAATCTATTCACAAACTGGACTTTACATAGGACACGAGGCCATGCCTTTAGACTGGAAGAAAGAAGATTTTGTCTAAGGCAAAGGAAAGGTTTTTTTTACTGTAAGAACAATCAGGATGTGGAATTCTCTGCCTGAAGAAGTGGTTTTATCAGAGTCCATACAGATGTTCAAACAGCTACTAGATGCATACTTGCAAAAATAGAATATTCAAGGATATAATCTTTCAATGTAGGGTAATAACTGCTTGATCCAAGGATAACTCTGACTGCCATTCTGGAGTCAAGAAGGATTTTTTTTCCTAGCTTGTTGAAAATTGTGCATCAAACTGGGGGGTTTTGCCTTCTTTTGGATCAACAGCAAAAAACAAATGTGAGGAAGGCTGAACTTGATCTCTTTTCAGCTATGTAACAATGTAACAAATAACCAATATGGTGTAGCACTTTATATAAACAAAAATGGAAGTTAAGTACCTTAAAACAGTATAGCACAGTGGTAATGGTATCTGTGATGAAAGCCTAAAAAGATGAAAAAGTCGAACAGTGTAGAACTAAAAATCAGTATAAAGTTCAAAGAGTATATGGAGCCACTCACATTCTTTTAAGCCAAGAACCTAGCTAAAGGATGAATAGCCAGTAGGTCTGTTTAGGCGACCTTCTCAAACAAAGAAAGTATATAGTGCAATATTGTATATCCAAAATAAGGAGAATGATCATGTGGAATAATACTCACAAAAGATGGAGCCATCATAATAGGCTCAATAACAGCACTGTCAGGGGTGGCGGTCCGGTGAAGGGGACCCAGTATGCCTGATCTTGATAGTAGGAGTCACTGTGTGGAAATGGATTATCAGGGCCTGGTGCAGTGTAACCACACGCTGTTGAGCACCAGTGTTTGTGCGGCCACATACCAGGGCCCTGATATAGCTTCTGCGGATCTCAGGTGCCAGATGACGATATGCAGACCTCCCAGGAACTAGAAAGGGAGGCTCTGCAGCAGACATGTATCCAGTACAGAAACAAGACTAGAATAGACACCAAACAAGAAAACAAGACAAAATTAGGAGAACCCAGAACCGGAGCAGGACAGAAATCAGAACCCATAACATGTACACAAGACATGAGGAAAACAAGAACAGGACAGGACAGGACTGTACATGAACTGGGAATACAAGACAAAATAAAACAAGACAAGAGATACAAGACAAAACAAGAGGAGATATAACTAAGTACTATATATGTAAAACATTGGAGATTCAGACATACATAAATGGCCAAGATGTATGCAGCCCACCACTGCGTCAAAGTCCTCCAATTACGGTGGGTCCTATCTACCTAGATATGCATGACTAAATAAACAATAATAAAACACACACAGCACTTACCTGCAAGAAAAGGGCAGAGGACTTGTAGCAACTGCCAACTGAAATAAAAGGATTCATGGAAAAGGAACGGGTGTGGCAACATAAAACAAACATTTAAAGGAATCAAAGAGACTGGGAATTCCAGGAACGGAATACAGGAATTAACCCAGAAAACCCAGCATAAAGAAAACCAGACATTGAATAGAAAACCAGAAAAACCAAGAAAACTAAACAAGAATTATAAAAAGAGTACTGGATACCAGAAGCCAAGGTCAGACATCTCCGCAGAACAGGACAGGATGTGACAAGCACAATGTGTTGTTGAGGACTATACTTCTATATGAACAGGAACCAGATGCCAAAAGTGTGTATAAGAGCACTATTTTATTAAAGGGTCTATCCCAACATAGATTAAAAACAAAAAAATGTAAAACTTACTAGCTATTTATAAAATAAACACACTATAAACGCAAAGTCCACAAGTCTTATCTGTCCCCAGGACGCATTTCGCCAAATTCTCCTTGGCTTTCTCAGCTGGGCAGTCAGTGTGTAATCCTATGTGGATATGAAGCTTATATACCCTCATCTAAGAGGGATAATGATGTGCGGGTTCGTAAATTCACGCCATCCCTCATATGTTTCCTCCTTCTGGAGCTTGTGACATGCTAAAAGGAGAAGTTAAAAAAATTTAGGATATTACCGTCATGGTACTGGCTGCTAACTAGTGCCAAGTGGCGAAGACATTAACTAAGTGATGGTAGATGAGACCATATTAATGCCAAGTGGCTCGAGAGGCACTAAGCGTTGAACCGAGGGCCTATACCACGAAATGTAGTGGAGGGATGTTGGCCTCTCTGTGACGTTTAAATGAAAATAGAATTTGGCCGTGACTGGTGAGGCCCTCTCTATGTAACTTGCGAGGTGGTTAGCTATGCATTGGACCGAGGGCCGAATATCTCCGAGTATGAGGGTGGGAGTTGGCCTCGCGGGACCATTAGTATAAGGCGTAGAAGGCCTGTAGAAAGCTAAATATGGCTCCTGTTTCCCTGATAGCCAGTAATTCATGTCTCTAACTGAGAGAAAGCAAAATGGGGGATTTAAATATAAGTCAAAGGGGAACGTACCTGTAAGACTAGAATTGTATTCGTAATACCAGTAATTGTAGGTTCGAAGGTTAGTGATGCACCTAAAGTACAAGGAATGAAGAATTATGTCTGAGAAACCTTAACTTCCCCCTCTCCCCCCCCTCCCCCCGTATCTCAAAGGAGTAATGGCCTACCTGGTTTGTACAGAATCAATATGAGATTTGAATTCTCAGAAAAGCCTATGAGTTGTAGTGTCGGATATTTTGGGAAATCAGTGCGCCAATAATAGTCTATAAATACTGTTAGGAGACATACTATAAGACATCTGTATTAACGACAGAGAAGTGACAACGTGTAATATGACTTATGCTCCTACCCCTATGGTGACTCCAAGACTTGTCGTTAACAGTACAAAAATACTGCTTTGTAAGCCAGTCCCATGCTTCCCCTAGGAACTAGCTTGAAAATCGTGATTTTAGAATTATCACCCTAGTTCTACCAGTGTAGCCACCGTGATGTTTATACTTATACTTTAACAATATACAAGTATATGTGGCCCCTCGGTATTGCTAGAGGATTGTATATTAGTAAATAATACGATATCTTGGGGTGAATCTATTAACCGTGAGTATGCTTGGTAGTAAGGGAACCCCATTTCCTCTCTCTGATCACCACCTCTTATCATTTGCTCTCAATTACCCCCTCACCCAACAATCTCAGCCTAACCCCCCTCAGCTCAGGAGGAACCTTAACTCTATTGACCTCAAGCAGCTGTCAGCTGACATTGATTCACAACTGCTATCCATCCCTTCCCTCTCCTGTCCCTCACTGGCCATCTCCACATATAACACTACCCTCACATCTGCCTTGAACACTGCAGCCCCGCTCAAAACATGCACCTCGAGGAGAACACGACCCCAACCTTGGCATAATAAATCAACACGCTATCTGCAGAGTTGCTCCCGTTGTGCTGAACGCTCCTGGAGGAAGTCCCGCACCCAGGCAGACTTTCTCCATTATAGATTCATGTTGCTTTCATACAGCGCAGCCCTCGCCCTCGCCAAACAGTCATACTTTTCCTCTCTCATTAGTTCATGCTCCCGCAATCCCAGACGCCTCTTTGACACCTTTAATTCCCTTCTCCGCCCTGCTGTGGCCACCCCCCAAACTAACCTTACAGCTGATAGCTTTGCATGCTACTTTACCGACAAGATTGAACAGCTAAGGAAACAATTCTCCCCTCCTTGCCGTTCTCTTTCTCAACCACATGTAAATCTTGCTTTCCCTACCCTCCAGACTTTCTACCCGGCTACTGAACAAGAGGTGGCTGCGCTTCTCCATTCCTCTCGCCCCACCACTTGCCCGCTCGATCCTGTCCCATCTCACCTCATCAGATCTCTCTCCCCTTGTCTTGTGCCTACCCTAACACACATCTTTAACTGCTCTCTCTCTTCTGGCACTGTTCCTGCTGACCTTAAACATGCCACTGTAATACCTATCCTGAAAAAAACATCTCTTGACCCATCCTCCCCTTCTAACTATCATCCCATATCCCTGCTCCCTTTCTCATCAAAGCTTTTGGAAAGACTTGTCTTTACCCGTGTGTCCCGCTTCCTTAATTCCAACTCTCTCCTTGACCCTCTTCAGTCTGGCTTCCGCCCTCTCCACTCTACTGAGACTGCTCTTATCAAAGTGACTAATGACCTAATCTCCGCTAAATCCAAAGGTCATTACTCCATATTAATTCTCCTTGACCTCTCTGCTGCCTTTGACACCGTTGATCATGCTCTCCTCCTTCAAACTCTTCAATCGCTCGGTCTCTGTGACTCGGTCCTCTCTTGGTTTTCCTCCTATCTCTCCCAACGCTCATTCAGTGTCTCCTTTTCCAAGGATACCTCCTCCACTCGTCCTGTCTCGGTTGGAGTTCCCCAAGGGTCTGTCCTTGGTCCCCTTCTATTTTCTCTTTATACCGCCTCTCTTGGTAAACTGATTGCCTCTTTTGGATTCCACTACCACCTGTACGCTGATGACACTCAGATATACCTCTCCTCCCCGGACCTCTCCCCTGCTGTCCTGCAACGTGTCACTGCTTGCCTTTCTTCCATCTCTGACTGGATGTCTTCACGCTTTCTGAAACTTAACCTCTCTAAAACTGAACTCCTTGTCTTTCCTCCTCCTAATACTGATCCTCCTCTCTCGCTCTCCCTTCAAGTCAGTGATATCCACATAAGTCCATCCCTGCAAGCGCGCTGTCTTGGCGTCATACTTGACTCTGGTCTCACCTTCGAGTCTCACATCCAGTTTGTTGCCAAGTCCTGTAGGTTCCAACTCAAAAACATAGCCCGCATTCGCCCCTTTCTTACGCAAGATGCTACCAAGGAGCTTGTCCATGCTCTAGTAATCTCCCACATGGATTACTGTAACTCTCTCATGATTGGTCTCCCCAAAAGCCGTATTGCCCCGCTACAGTCTGTAATGAATGCTGCAGCTAGACTGATTTTCCTCTCTAGTCGGTCCTCTCACACCTCACCCCTCTGCCGGTCCTTACATTGGCTCCCTGTATGCTATAGGAGTCAATTCAAAGTGCTAACCCATACATTTAAAGCACTGAACAGTTCTAGCCCCGCTTATATCTCTTCACTGATCCATAAATATGCCCCTCCACGTACCCTCCGCTCTGCCCGTGACCACCTCCTGACCGCTGCTCGCACCCGTACGGCCAACTCGCGCTTGCAGGACCTCTCGCGGGCGGCTCCTCTCCTATGGAATAGCTTGCCTACTGCCATCAGACTCTCCCCTAGTCTTCAATCATTTAAGAAGGGCCTTAAAACCCATCTCTTCAGGAAAGCTTATGGCCTCCCAGAGTAATCTCTACCTTACATACCTGTCTCCTGCTCTCTCCTATGGGACAGTGCTTTGCTCTCTCCTCCAGCTCTGCTTCACTCCTACTTGATATTTATTGTCCTAATGTTTCAAATACCCCACCTCCAATAGTCTGTAAGCTCGTTTGAGCAGGGTCCTCTTCAACCTATTGTTCCTGTAAGTTTTCTTGTAATTGTCCTATTTATTGTTACACCCCCCCCTCTCAAAATATTGTAAAGCGCTACGGAATCCGTTGGCGCTATATAAATGGCAATAATAATAATAATAAGGGAAAGGTGAGTATGTAACCATTACAAATCTAATAAACCATTTAATGTCAAACTCCTCATCTACATCAGCGGCTTTCAAATGATGTAACGTGAGTGCGTGCCAGTTGTGTTAAAACGTATTATTATCGTACACGTACCACTTTAATAAGTAAAAAAAAAAAAATACACTTGCACTGCTGATTGGCTAAATTAATGCGCTGCAACCAAAAGCCTAGCAACAGAAAGGAAATAAAGGGTTAACAGGGAGATGAGAAAAGTTGCAGGAGCTATCGTGTTTAACATGGCTCTACCTCCCTCCTTCTGATTTAAAGAAAGCTTTCATCAGAACCTGCCCTTATCAACCAGTAACACAGTATCAACGACATGTATCCAGCCACAATGTGGCAATACGTTTCCCAGCAAGAGGTATCGAAAGGGAGTTTGCATAGTGAGATTCCCTGTGTGCACCGTGGGTGAGTGGGTTAACGTAAGTGAGCGGTTTGCATAGGACATGAAAAACGCCAGTATGCGGCAGTAACACGGTATTAACAACATTGTACCCAGCCAAAATGTAGCAATACGTTTCACCGCAAGAAGTATAGAAGGGGGTTTGCCTAGGTAAATTAGGTGTGTGTACTGTGTGTGA